ATTCAATTTTATATTTCAAATGACTTTTCCATGATTTTTCCATCTCTTCTGTTTAGCACACTTTTCAAATTAGTTCTTTTGACAATCCTTTTATCTTTAGATTCGTGCTAAAATTTTTATTTTCCGCCTATCAAAACAATTTTTTCTAGAAACAAATTTAAAAGACGTGACGTACTTCACTGCATGACAAAGTACAAAGTACAAACATTAAATGTGTTCAACATTTTCCACTATTTACTACAAAATAGTGTTAATTAAACAATAGAAAACAATAGAATTAGCATAATTTGGCAGTATTTAGTGATATTTATGTTGCACAGTTTTAGTGTTTGTACTCTACTTAGACACCTTTAATCTAACTCCAGATAACTACATTGTTCTTTTCAATGATAAAATAGCGATTATAGATGAGATAAGTTCATAATTTCTACATAAGAGGTCTTTGTTTATATTTTTTGAGAAGAGTAGAACTTCAAACCTGAAACGTTTCGATACTTCACGAGCAGGGGTGTTAGTTGTCGCCAGGGTTCGAGCTACTCCTTGAAAGGTCCTGGAATTGAAAACTCGTTTTCAAGGGTGCTTGAGAAGCCCTTGAATATGATGGAAATCGATAAAACTCCTAGAAAACTCCTTGAATCTGATAAAAATTGATGTGTTGCTTGTTAGGTTTTGGATTGAATGTGGCTGTTTTTCAACATTGCCACTGGAAACGTCTGAAAACTTTAAAAATATCTTCAAAAATAGTTCTTGAAAATTGCATTTTTGTGCTTAAAAAGTACTTGAAAGGTCCTAGGATTTTGTAGCGAAAATGTAGTACGAACCCTGTGTCACGACTGCGCTGTTGTCGCCAAGCATTTATAAGATAGATTCAATTGATTATCTAATGTTAAGGAATTTACCTTTTTCATGCTGTCCATTGATTTTTCCAGAAAAAAGAGTCAAAAACACAACGTGAAGGAACAGTCCTCGTAGCATTTTAATAAGTCTTGCAGTTTTGGACCCTCGGACGTTTTCAGATGGTATATGGTATTGCAGCCAGAAAAAAACATGGTATTTTGACATGGAACCAGGAGTGCTCATTTTTAATTTAAACACTCGTTTCGTATTCTTGTTTATTAGAAAATATTTAGGAATATGACAGAGAAAAAGTGGTATAGTTGGGTGAATTCAAAAATTTATTTTCTTGAAGTTGGAAGTAAGTAGTTTTAGGTATTATTCATGATATTATTGTTCGCAAAGTGATGAACTTCTCGTGTGTTTTCACTGTTTTTTAAATTAATTCCCAGACGATCTCCCATGTGGAGGTTGACAATGATTTGTCACTTTTTCAATTATTTAATTAATTAATTTTTGTGTAATTTCATATGAAATTAAAGTTAAAAGTTGAATAAGACGCTCAAAGAGCGCATGTTGTTAAAACAA